ATTGTGGGACGAATCATAATGTTTTGATACCGTTCTTCCCTTTCTTTCATAATATTATCCAACTTGAGAGTATCTGTCACTCTTGCACCACGTTTGACTGTTTTAATTAGAAACTCTTACTAGAACGTTGCATAGTTGGGTTTCGGCACATGAACATCCTAGAGTTTCCAAAACCTCAATCTTTGTTTCCTTAGTCCATGGAATCTTGATTCTTTGGTTCTTTCATTTTAAAGTTTAAAATGTTTACTTTGTTGTCTGCTTCTAACATCATCCATATCGCGTATTTCTTTATTGATATCTGAAGATGTTCTAATTCAGTTTAGTGACTAAATGCTTCGAATGATGATACTATCCTTCCGCCTGGAACATTTTATTGAATATATCTTCCTATTATTGGACTTTAAAGTCCCAGTTACAGTTCTAATGTTATTTCAGTTTCGCACAAAAATATGTTATTTTTGAATTAACTTTTGAGTTTTCTTTACATTGTGTAAGTAGTTAAAATGTGCTTAATTTTAAACTTTTTTATTCTCAGTTTAACCATGTTACAGTTTGTAAAATCTTCGAGTAATTTACTGGTCATTTACTGCAATTAGATAAAAAATAACAAGTACGTGGGTGATTTAAAACAAGTGTGAAAACATTAATGTATAATTATAAAACCATGTATCAGTGGATCAAGCCAATTTAATCCACATTTAAATGTGGATCAAGCCAATTTAATCCACATATAAATGTATCCAGTAGCTGATTGTGTTTAGATCATATCTATGAAGTCAATAATTCCTGTGATTGGAACTACACACTAATATGTGTATAAAGGCTTAGAAATACAGCATGACAGGTACCATTAATACTTTGTCAAATAGTAGTTCTCATTCTTACAGGTTTTGTAAAACAAAGTTAGTTTGTTCTTCCCCTTGAATTGATATTCATGACTTGCACGTACATATATATATATATATATATAGAAATATAAATACGAAAGAAAGTGTGGAAATGACATTTGTGCTGTAGGAATTACACTGCTGTGTGTATGTATGTTGCCATGATAACACAAAAGAATCGCAAATAGCACAGATCACGCCTGCAAATACAGAACACTGAGCGCTGCAGGAAAGCTAAATATATACCAAACTTCTTACAAAAACACAGTAAGTTCAAATACATCTCCGAACACACTATGAGACATAAATAATAAACAAGTGTAAAGAGTATTTATTAATTTTATAAAGAAATCGTTTAGTAATTCTTTTGAGTAAAGGTGTCAACTACCTTTGTCAGGACTCATATTGTAGAAATTGGTGTAATAACATTTTTCGGGCTAGAAATGAAATGTTTTTATACTACTGATTCTTTTTATATTAAGCAACGTGTTATGCTACGTACAAAGCCACACATTGGGATATCTGAACTTTGTCCACTGCGAGAAATAAAACCCTTTATTTTAGCGTTATAAGTCCGTAAACTTACCGCTAACCCAACTGAAGGACTTTCCGACCAGATATATTTAATACTTGAAAAAAAACCCAATTATTATGCGTAATATTTTACTTACATGTTGATAAAACTGTTGATTAAAACCTTAATAACTCGGAGGACTCAATTTGTTATGTTTTTTTTTCAATGTCCCCAAATGTTAAGTGTTCATTCTAATTAATCTTAAAAATTAGGTAGAACAATAGTCTTCTGTTGCTGCTGTTTTAACTTTCTAGATTTATTTGACAGCCATATATTTCAAATAGCTTAATAGATTTCAAAGTAGTGTTCATTACCTGTGGTTGTCCTAGTCTTTCACTGTCGTTGATACTACTGTAATGTTATCAAGTCAAAAGTTTTTACAGTCTGACTAGAGAAATTTATTGTGTTAAATATCGCATGACGCTGGAATCACCTGTTTTGAATATAATAGAAGAATTTTATATCTCGATATTAAGAAAACTTGGCTCAGCTTTATTAATGACGCAAGGAATTCTGGAAGGGCGTAAACTCAGGGTATGAGTAAAATCCAGCAATAATCATTTCCAAAAGGAAAGGCGCGGTTCGCCAGCGGTTTATCTGAACGATTCTGATTCGACACTTCCTGGGCAACAATGCAACAAATCAAAGAGAAATCGAAGAATAAAGAATCTTTTTTGGCAAGAAATTGTCATTTTGTATCTTATAATTTTTAAAATGTCCGTTTAGAGTGGAAGAAATTCGAACTTTTTAGTAAAAACAGTTTTAAATATAATAAAATCAAACTAATTTAACACAACATTTTCACGAAAACAGTGACGTCACACTGATGGATTATTTTTTTAAATAACTATGTGGTAATAATATGATACCGACTGTTACACACTATCCCACACTAACGTTAAATTTAAAACCATCTACTTTAGATTACTGAAATGAAAATAGGTGGTAGAGTTTTGTAAAATAAATTAAATATAATTTTTTGAAGTATATTAAATAGATTTTCTTACGTTTAACTTATGTTAATTTTTATTTCTCGAATCTGATATCTCACAAGTAGATAAACATTTTAACTCAGTACTTAATAAAACAACCACGCAATTCTTTGATTATTCTGGTACGTTTATTATATATTTTAATGTACATTACAAAGCGGAAATGCCCCCCAGTGGCACAGTGATATGTCTGCGGACTTACAACGCTAGAAACCGGGTTTCGATACCCATGGTGGGCAGAGCACAGATAGCCCATTGTGTAGCTTTGTGCTTATTTCCAAACAAACAGATGTAAACGAAAAAGGGGAAGAAATATAATTACGGAAACACAGTATGATAAGGTTTCAGAAATACTGACTTCCTGGAGCAAAGTAAAAGATCCACTTATAATGAAGATACATGCCATAAAAGAGGCTCCACCCTCAGACTGTTTTTTTTTAATATTAAACATCTGTTCATTTCAAAGATGTATATCTGATTAACGTAAAGACCTGAACGTCAGGATTGGTGACTCGAAGTTTATCTTGTTCCACAGGAGCTTGTTTTTGAGGTTTTGTGATTTTAACTTTAGAATGCAGTTCTGGGTCCAAAAGACCGGAGACAATTTTTGTTGTGCAATAATACTATGTTACCATGATCCTTCTTCTATTCCTCTACAATTTGATGACAAATATTTCTCTAGGAATCATCTTATTTTTTAGCAAATATACAATATTACTTATAGGGGTTTCCAGACCCGGCCACTGGAAGAATGTAAATTATTTCAGGACTGCATCATGAGGTTAAAATTTATCAGGGTTGTCCTTAAACTTGGACTTTGAAACTTTAAGATTTGCCAGGCTTGTGAGCACCTTTGATCATAGAGTCCGTCTCCTTTGGTATCATTTTGGTTCGATACAGTTTTGATGTTGGTGCTAGTATCATTAAGCAACCTTAAGATTAATCTTTGTATGTTGCTGACCATGGGAAATATCGAGTCTTGGTAATATTAAACACAGAAGTATTAAGTAATTTCACGCTGGTATACATAGTTAGAAATATCGAGTCTTGGTAATATTAAACACAGAAGTATTAAGTAATTTCACGCTGGTATACATAGTTAGAAATATCGAGTCTTGGTAATATTAAACACAGAAGTATTAAGTAATTTCACGCTGGTATACATAGTTAGAAATATCGAGTCTTGGTAATATTAAACACAGAAGTATTAAGTAATTTCACGCTGGTATACATAGTTAGAAATATCGATACACATACAAAATCGAGTGTAATCATTACGAATTTAATCATATTATCGGAATCACAAAAAATAAATTGACTAACAAAGAGATCTTTTTAAAAGAAACGGGTAAGAGATTC